ATATATATATATATATATATATATATATATATATATATATATATATATATATATATATATATATATAATTTATTTATTTTCATGCATACATTTTGTAAAATAATAAACTATTATCTACTGCTTTTATAATTTGTATTTTAAATGTTTTAAGAAATAATATTTACATGATACATTATATAATAGAAAAATGTATGTATTATGCATACATTCTGTCAAATATTTCAATTACTATCTAAAATTTTTATATTTATTACATTATTATTACATTTTGATAATTATTCAATCATTTAAAAAAAATTATTATAAAATATTTACATTATATAATAGAATAATACATGTATTTTTATGCACACATTTTGTAAAATATATAAATTCATATCTAATACACTTATTACATTTTAATAATAATTATTCAATAATAGTAAAAATACATTATATATATCGTATTTATATTGTGCATTGCATAATATAATTTATGTATTTTATGCACGCATTTTGTATAATATATTAATTACTACATATTATTTTAATAATATTTACATTATATAATAATATTTACATTAAAACAGCAACAGCTTACTGTGCAAATTTTAATAGCTGTTACTTGTCAGTTCTCCTTCTCCACTGTAATAGGGAATTTTCCATACCTAATAAACTAATTCATGATCTGAGACAGCAATATTTTTTCATATATTAAAGAAATATGTTGGCCTTTTGAAATTTGCATACAATTTTACTGGAGTTCATCATTCATTAGGGAAATTAAGATATATTTGATGACATGACACTGTTGATGAAGATTGGGGATTTAAAAAAAAAAATTTACGTAAAATTCTATACCAGAATTTGATAAATTTGGTGTGTGTGTGTTTCTGTCAGCGGTGAGTCATGTGCTGTACGGCAAGCGTTTGGGTCTGCTGTTGGACTACATTGATCCAGAAGCCCAGCACTTCATCGACTGCATCACCCTGATGTTTAAGACCACCACTCCCATGCTGTACCTCCCGCCGGCCCTGCTCCGCCACACCAGGGCCAAAGTCTGGAAAGACCATGTGGAGGCCTGGGACGGCATCTTTAACCAGGGTAACACCACACTGTTAATGAAACACATGCTGGGGTTTTTGGCGGGAAACACTTCCACTGATTTCTCATCCCTCAATGTGGTTTTCCAAAGCCGACCGATGTATCCAGAGCATCTACAGACAGTTGAGCAAAAATCCAGACGCTGGTGAGAAGTACCCTGGTGTGCTGGCCAGCCTCCTAATGCTGGACAAACTGTCCATCGAGGACATAAAGGCCAGCGTCACGGAGCTGATGGCTGGCGGCGTGGACACGGTACGAGAAATAATCAACGCTAGAGGAACAGTCCATTCGCAAATAATGCCACTATTCACTCACCCGCATGTCATTCCAAACCTGTATAACTTTCATTCTTCAGCTGAACACAAAAGAAGATATTTTGAAGAATGTTGGTAACCAAATAGTCAGCGGTAGCCATTGACTTACACTTGAAGTCAGAATCTTCAGAATCTGCAAAATGTTCATTATTTTACCAAAATAAGAGAGATCATACAAAATACATGTTATTAATTATTTAGTACTGACCTGAATGAGATATTTACTATACTGTATGATTTTGATATTCACACTCAGGACAACTGAGGGACTCATACACAACTATCACAGAAGGTTCAAACGCTCACTGATGCTCCAGAAGGAAAAAGCATGCATTAAAAGCCGGGGGGGTGAAAACATTTTGAATTTGAAGATCAGGGTAAATTTAACTTATTTTGTCTTCTGGGAAACATGTAACTATCTTCTGTAGCATCTGAAGGGCAGTACTAAATGAAAAAAAAACATGATATTTAGGCAAAATAAGAAAAATGTACACATCTCCATTTTGTTCAAAAGTTTTCTCCCCCCATCATCATCATTATCATCAGTGAGCGTTTGAACCTTCTGTAATAGTTGCACATGAGTCCATCTGTTGTCCTCAGTCTGAAAAGATGCATCTCAAAATCATACAGCCATTGTTAGAAAGGGGTTCAAATACACAAAAGAGGGGGTTTTCTGAAGAACGGCATGCAGTTTAACTGTTCAGAACAAACAAGGGACTCATGAACAACTATCACTAAACAAAAAACACAGCTGTGGATCATTCAGGTAACAACACAGTATTAAGAATCAAGGGGATGTAAACTTCTGAACGGTGTAATTTTTATAAATTCAACTATTATTTTCTCTTGTGGACTGTTTGTATACATCTTTTATGTGAAATACCTTATTCAGATCAGTACTAAATAAACAACAACATGCATTTTGTACGATCCCTTTTATTTTGGTAAAATAATGAACATTTTGCAGATTCTGAAAGGGGGGGGTGTAAACTTTTGAACTCAAGTGTAAGTCAATGGCTACCGCTAACTATTTGGTTAACGATATTCTTCCAAATATCTTCTGTGTTCAGCTGAAGTAAGAAACACGTGTAGTTTTGGAATGATAACAGAACTTTCATTTTTTTGTGAACCATCCCTTTAAATTGAAATATTTTTGTGCGTCAGACGTCTGTCTCACTGTTGTGGACGCTCTATGAATTGGCACGACATCCGGACCTGCAGGAGGAGATCCGGGCCGAAATCTCAGCCGCTCGTATCGCCTCTAAAGGAGACGTGGTGCAGATGCTCAAAATGGTTCCTCTGATTAAAGGAGCCTTGAAGGAAACTCTGAGGTACACGAACACTTTCTGTTCAACTATGGGTACTGATTTTTATTAAAACACATTTGAACTTTTGTCATTTTCTTCAAAGTTAAAGTAAAAACTAAATCAAAACAAAAGCACGTACATCACTGGAAAAACTGAGTGCTCAAAAACTATTTTGAAAACAGAAAAACACAGGCACGCCTAGGCTCCAAAAATATAATAACAGACTATCACACAGGTGTATTTTGGTAGCTTAAGTGTGCCAACATTTTTCTGTTTTCTTAAGGTAAAATGGTCTTGGAAACATTTTTATTATAAACTCTATACAGTTTAAAAGTCTGGAGTCAGTAAGATTTATGGGATTTATGTAAAATAAATGAACACTTCTATTCAGAAAGAATACATTAAATACAAATGTAAATGCATTTCTATACAAATAAATGCTGTCCTTTTGAATGTTCTATTTATCAAAGAATCCTAACCCCCCCAAATGTGTCACATTCCTGCACTGAAAAAAATGTGTGCAGAAATCATTTTCACTCAGAAACTTCTAGTAAATTTCACAAATAATTACAGAAAATGGCAAGTAACATGTTGAATTACACATGAAATGTTGAAGTAGAAATAGTGAAACATTATTTTCTTGTAAAACGTACTCGAATAATCTTTATTTACTTAATACGAAGACTTTTAAAGTGACAATCATAAATCCTTTGAATATTCAATGTTAAAATTGTTAATTTTTTACACAAAATACAGTGTTGACAATTTTGTAACTAATTAGACTTTATCAACAGTTACCTAGTTTAGTTACTAATGATACAAACAGTGTCAGACTGGAGAGCATGCTTAAGATTATTTAAAAAGTCTGAAATATTATATAACTGCATGTATATAAATATTCATTGAAATGACAAACTCGTTTATGTAAACAGATGAAATAAACTAGCATATAAAAAGTACATTGTAAGAGACTTTATTAGTTTACAAGGCCAAAGGTACCCATAGTTGAAGAAGCACCCAGAAATAAAAGAAAAAATATGACTAGCAGCTGGTATCTAAGATCATTAACTCTCTTTTGAAGATTACATCCTGTAGCAGTGAGTCTACAAAGATACATCACTGAAGACATCGTCCTTCAAAATTATCACATTCCAGCTGGGGTGAGTGTGAATTTGAGGATATTATACTAAGAAAATACCACTATCAATGTACCTGTTTTCATGGGTTGATCTGTCTGTGTGGATCAGACCTTAGTTCAGCTGGGTCTCTACGCTATGGGTCGTGATCACCGGATCTTCCCGCACCCGGAGCAGTACCGGCCCTCTCGCTGGGTCCGATCCCAGAGCCACTACTTCAGGAACCTGAGCTTCGGCTTCGGCCCACGCCAGTGTCTGGGCCGCAGGATTGCCGAGACCGAGATGCAGCTCTTCCTTATTCATGTATGTGGGTGTCTAAAGGGAGGGACATCACATCCTCTATACTGGCAAAGTAACGTTGCATGGATTTTCTTTATATTGTCATTTTGTCATCTTTATAGATGCTGGAGAACTTCAGGTTTGAGAAGCAGAGGCAGGTGGAGGTCAGGAGCACGTTTGAGCTCATCCTGCTGCCTGAGAAGCCCATCATGCTCACCATCAAACCGCTGAATGCCAGCAGATAGCAGAGCTGCAAACAGGAAATGAATAATACAATAAATGAATGAATAAAAATTTCAACTCTGACATGAAATGCCTGTCAAACGTTTGGACTCAGTTGATGTTGCTCGTGATCTTAAAGGGACAGTTCACACAAAAATGAAAATTCTGTCATCGTTTACACGCCCTCATGTAGTTCAAACCAGTATGGGTTTTTTCTTCTTTGAAACATAGAAGATATTTTGGGAACACAGAGTAATTTTTTTAAGTATCTGCTTTTCCACAGAAGAATAACACATTTTGGATGGACATGAAGGTGAGGGAATTATGAAAAAGTTAAAATATTGTGTGACTTACACTTACACTTAATTTTTCTTGGCTAGTCTACTCATTTGTTTCAAAGATTTGATGACTTTTCTATTATTCTAAAATTGACTGGTACTAAATGTCAAATAAAAACAAATTCATCTAAATATTCTAAAGATATATACATTAAGGGTGGGAAACTTTTGCTTAACTCACGATTCGATTCATATCGATTCTTGGGGTCACGATTCTTCCGATTTGTAATTACGATTCACCATTTTTCATCAAATTTTTTTGTGCACACTGGACATCAAACGCACAAGTATTTTGATACAAAAACACACCAGTCTATAGTATGGGTAGTCCTGACTCAAGTAATCAGTGTTTCCTATGAACTATTAACTTCCTAATAAATCAAAAAATATTTTACACCCAATTAGGCATGTGCCTGAATCCGAATACCGTGTTCGGAAAGGAAATGACGTGTAGTATGGAAACCCTAAAGGAAATAAATATGAGATTGGAGGAAAAAATATACATTTCAGTGCTTTTTCTCGCAATTACACTACCAGTCAAAAGTTTTTGAACAGTATGATTTTAAAAAAAAATTATCTTCTGCTCACCAAGCCTGCATTTCTTTGATCCAAAGTACAGCAAAAACAGTAAAATTCTGAAATATTTGTACTATTTAAAATAACTTTTTTCGATTTATTAAAAATATTTCACAATATTAGTGCTTTTACTGTATTTTGGATCAAATAAATGCAGGTAAGCAGAAGGGAATTATTTAAAAAAAAACATTAAAACCCTTACTGTTCAAAAACTTTTGACTGGTAGTGTATATTGTTGGGTAATTATACTGTATATAAATTGTGGGCATCAGGGAGTCATGCAGGCCATTCAAATCGCATTTGAATGAATACTCGCTTTTTACTTTCACTTTCGAGATTTCGCAATCACACTTACTGTGCATAATACAGAGTGGCAGTATTTACCACACATTTTACAAGATTACGCTCAGGATCTGCAAATCATCAGTCATCTCTGTTTATGTGGTAAGTGAAATTTTATGTAGGCCTACTCTAATGTAAAAGGCAACCGTTAGCAAGCGGCTAACCATGTCCCTTTAGTGGCTCTGTAGAACGACATTTCAGTGCTTTTTCTCGCAATTACACTACCAGTCAAAAGTTTTTGAACAGTACGATTTTTAAAAAAAATTATCTTCAGCTCACCAAGCCTGCATTTCTTTGATCCAAAGTACAGCAAAAATAGTAAAATTCTGAAATATTTGTACTATTTAAAATAACTTTTTTCGATTTATTAAAAATATTTCACAATATTACTGCTTTTACTGTATTTTGGATCAAATAAATGCAGGTAAGCAGAAGGGAATTATTTAAAAAAAAACATTAAAACCCTTACTGTTCAAAAACTTTTGACTGGTAGTGTATATTGTTGGGTAATTATACTGTATATAAATTGTGGGCATCAGGGAGTCATGCAGGCCATTCAAATCGCATTTGAATGAATACTCGCTTTTTACTTTCACTTTCGAGATTTCGCAATCACACTTACTGTGCATAATACAGAGTGGCAGTATTTACCACACATTTTACAAGATTACGCTCAGGATCTGCAAATCATCAGTCATCTCTGTTTATGTGGTAAGTGAAATTTTATGTAGGCCTACTCTAATGTAAAAGGCAACCGTTAGCAAGCGGCTAACCATGTCCCTTTAGTGGCTCTGTAGAACGTGTTGTACGTTTCTGTGTTTTTCCGAATACACCACTCTCGCAGTGGGGTTCCACCTTTTTTGTTTTCCCGACAACATCATGTTATTATTATTATTATTATATTAAGTAGAAAATCATTTTTTGAAATTTGTGAATCGATGCAAATCGTTAGAAGACTGAATCGCGATTCAAATTTTTCATTTTCTTTTTTTTTTCATTTATTTCATTTATTTGTACAGGGACAATGCACAGCAACAGTGTTGTGCCAGAGTTAGCTATAAAGCTAATTTGCATCTGCAGTCCCTGGGCAGGATGTTGTTAAAGCCTTTTTTGTTTTCCCGACAACATCATGTTATTATTATTATTATTATATTAAGTAGAAAATAATTTTTTGAAATTTGTGAATCGATGCAAATCGTTAGAAGACTGAATCGCGATTCAAATTTTTCATTTTCTTTTTTTTTTTCATTTATTTCATTTATTTGTACAGGGACAATGCACAACAACAGTGTTGTGCCAGAGTTAGCTATAAAGCTAATTTGCATCTGCAGTCCCTGGGCAGGATGTTGTTAAAAAATTACAATATTAAGTCACAAACAATACAATACATACAACACATACAAAATCACATCATACTACATTAAATTATAAAGCCAAGTCAATGATCACATGTTTGATTTTCCTGAAGCCATAATTTAGGCGTAGTTTTAAAAATACTAAATGTTGTACACTCTCTAATATAAACATGTATTAAATTCCATCTTTCTGTTGCTCTAACTGAAAAGGCTGATTGTCCAAAAACACAATTTTTGTTAAATTTAGTTGAACAGTCACCTCCTGATATTGTCCTTACAGAAAGTCACACATTGTTTAAGAGGTGGTGGTGCAAGATCATGAAATAGTTTGTACATCAA